ATGTTTGGTGTTAATGTGGCCATCATAAAAAGAGGGAGGAAAAGAAGAAGAGAACAGGGAAAAAATAAATAATAATAATAAGAAGAATGTGTGTGTGTGTATATATATATATATATATATGTATGTGTATATATAGACATACATACAAACATGCACATAAATCTGGTTTGTCTCACTTTTAATGTGTTTATGTCACGTGCCCCATGTACAGAGGCTGTAATCCTTGTTAGAATCCGCCCTCAGCTCTTTGCTGCTTGACATCCCCTATCTCTCTCTCCTCCCAACATTTCCTGTCTCCCTTCAGCTGTCATGTCCAATAAAGGCAAAAGGCCCAGAAAATAAATACAAAAACAACTTTTTAAAAACTGTTTGAGCTAATTTGATGCGCAGTGTTTTGCCCAAATCCAAACTTCATACATGTTTTTCCCTACTGTCAGCTCAGCTCTGCTTTGTTTGTATCTCTGTCAGAACACCACACCATTAATTTCTCTGTGTTTTCCTTCTTCCTTCTTCTCAGTTGGTTCAGCTCGACGACTTGTTTGCCTACTGGAATGTCAACTCGACTCTCTTCTCTAATCACAGTGCGGACGAGGCTTTGGTGAGTCACTCTCATGTTACCGTGCTAAACTTTGTTCCCACTAGCCTGGATTTGCCTATGCCTTACTCTACCTTTTTTTGAGAGGTTGAAAACACAACACCATTATTGTGAGCACATCATGGACCAGCTTCAAATTTCGAGTCACTGTATTAATCAATCCTTGTGGGCCGTTTGCTGTTATTTCTGAATATTGCCTGTGCAAATTGCTTGTGCAAAGATCCCTGCAGAACTTTATAGCCATTAATTTCAACCACAAAGCCGAGCTAGTGTAATGTTTGTACATGTGGTTTTATAATAGTTTGATGGATGAAATATATTCTTTATTAATAGGAACTAATCTCTGTAACTCTCCCTTTTGTTATTCAACAGCGATGTCTTCAGAGTAGCATGGAAACCAACAGCTCTCTCTCTGTCGGCCATGACTTCAGTGAGTGTCTCCCTGTCATATTTTAATACTCTCATGTAATGTGTTGTTTTGATTTTCAGTTTGAGGCAAAAGCACAGACGACCCATGTTTGCACATTTTTTGCAGCAGCTGAACAAAGTTTGAGTTTGGCGCCTAGGCTCCGACCTCCTCACTCCTCGTAGATTTATTTTAAATGCAGTAATTGAGGAGTGGTGATGAAATAACTTAAACCCCAGTCGGAGCCTGCAGGCGAATGCTGGGTGTGGTGGAGGGATTTCAGATATTGACGGAACAGAGGGAGAGACCACTCACTTGTGAGGATGTGATGATGATTGGAGATTGTGAGAATGACGTAAAATCTGTGCAGCTAGAGTGTTTTCTGCCTGAACTAGCTCGCAGGCGTTGCCTCATTTAGTATTTTATATTCAACCAAAATACTTGTCAATTTTTACCCATGAAAACAAAGCCATGTTCTGCACCAAAACGTATTAAAAAATAAAAATGCAATGATTAAAAATCTGCTTAAAATAATCTCTTCCTTGTTGCTGGTACACAGTTTTCCGTCCAATCTCAGCCGACGCTAAACTGCGGATGAATCCCCGCTCAGATGTGGACTTCTCCTCTCCTAAAGTGGACCTCATGGTCAATCTGAGTGAGGTGGCCATTGAACTGAACAGAGCCCAGGTTGGTGTTCTGTTCGTGTGTAAAACTGTGTCTTTGAAACTCTTCTTCTGGGAGAGGGAGATAGAAGATGCGATCAAGTCCTCTGAGTAATTGCTGGCTTCCTCTCTTTCCAGTACATTAGCATCTTGGAGCTGCTGGGCTCAGTGGACATGATGTCACGCAACCTGCCGTACAGGAAGTACAGACCCGCGGTCCAAGTTCACACCAATGCCCATATATGGTCAGAAAACACACTTATTGGTTTTTGAATGCCATATGATCATATTCCTTGTGACTTCTTACCCTCACTCGTTTGTTGGTTTTACATATTGAAGGTTAAAATGTGTGTCTCCTGTTTATCTTTCTACCTTGCAGGTGGAAGTACATAATAACAGGCACCCTGGAAGTGGACGTGAAGCCTCGTCTCCACATGTGGTCATGGGATCAGATTCGCCGCCACCGGCAGATGGTGAAGCGCTACAAAGAGCTCTACAAGACCAAAATCACCAGCAAGAAACCCAGCGAGGAGCTGCTCAAGGCGCTAGAGGTGAGACAGGCCTGAACGAAACAAGACAACTTGTTACACCACTTTTATCTGCACTGCTGCATTAGTCCTTCAAGTTCTAAAAAGATCATTTTTTTAGGATAATGTCCCTTTATACAACCTCTTTTACTCTAATACAGTATCATGCTTTCATGATGCTATTATTTTAAGTAATGTTGTGGGTATTTTGTTCCTTTTGAAGCTAAATGTATTCCTTGCACATACATCCAGACAGTTCATACCTATGCAGCCCTGCAGTTTCTGCTTGATTACGTTCTGTCAAAAACCTAATCGACTACAGCAATGTGATTCATGCCCTATAAAATATTTGTAATGTAATAGTCCAGTAGTTAATTGCAAAGACATTACTTTTTCAATATCCTTGCAGTGAGAGGAATTTACCGCCTGCTCTAGTCGTAATCACAAACCTACTTATCCACTATCCAAGGATTGATTGAAGTGCATTTGAGATTGATAATGTATCTCAGAGAAACACTACCCTTAAATGAAAAGGTATTTTCCTCTGTCGGTCTTCCGCTCTCTGAGCATCATCTTTCCCTGACGTGGATCATAATGGACATTTGGTAAGTAATGCATCCTTGCTTGAAGAAGCTGCTGAAAGCTCTAATCAATTTTTCTCGTGATTATTCACAGGGGCCTGAGAAGACCTTGGATATTTTTAACATCACGTTAGCCAGACAGCAGGCTGAGGTGGAGGTAAGCTCACTGTCTAACATACTCTGTCGCCTTTTCGTTCTGTGCTTACACTCCTAAGTGCACGCGGTACGAGATGCATAAAGTGCGCAGGTTCCAATCGTACAATTGATAAAACAAGTTGATCTGTAAAAGCTACAGGGCTCAGAACACCAGAAATACACAATAAATGAATAATGGACCACTAAGAAGCATGACAACAGCTTCCCAGCTCTTCATGAAATTACAACGACCACATCAAGCAGTAAAGAGGAAAAACATGATAGATACACACACACTACGACTTGTTCCGCTCTGTAACGGCTTCTGGGACAAAGCTGCTGTTCTGTACTTTGCATCATGTGGTTGTGGTTTTGGCTGAGGTGTTATAAAATAGTTCCATGTGGTGTGTCTTACTTCACTGCAGTCCTTTTTTCCTTCACAGCTGATCTGACAAAAAAATAATAATTTCCTAATCAGCAATTTGCCATAGATTGTTTTTTCTCAACATAATATTTCTCATATAAAACAAACTCACTAGTAAATATTGGGGACGAGCAAAGCATTCCTTTGGGTTAGATTCCTTTTGAGAGGCAGATGAAGTTGTGAATATCCGCCTCTTAAAGGCACAGTATGTAAATTCCGCCACCAGGGGGCTCTCAATCAAAACAATAACAAAAAGATGACGTCGTGGTGGGAGTTCTCTCTGCTGCCCACCCCACCACCTTCAGTGAAAACGAACTCCGCGTTGACCGTAGTAAAGACGAACGGGCGAAACCGACCTGAGAACGAGGATATGTTTACAGACGATGTTTCCAAGTATAATGTACGTGACGTTTTTTTATCACAGCAGCACAAACAGCAACACTGCGACAGCTTTCAGTAGCAGCTCCCGCCTCCTTATGTAGCAGTCTTTGACGTAACAAATGATAAACATGTTTTTTCTGTAATGGCGGCTCATCATGGAAGCGACCACGACAAGACACGTCCTGTTGGAACTATAACATTAAGTATTTCTCTAGCTGTGATATGTGTTGGAAATATTTGAGGTAATGTTAATACTCAACAAAAAAATATAACACACAGGCTTAGTCAATTTTTAATTAATTAAGATATTTAAATGTAAAAATTCTACATATTACACCTTTAAGTTTTCTGTTCCTGAAAGGACACAAACAATTTGTAGCCACCTAAATACTCAGATTGACAGAATCATCAAAGGAAACTGCCAACAGATTCATTTTCATTTGATTTAGTTTAACTGTTTTAAGTGTCAGCATCAAGATAAATTATTTCTCATTTGTTGAAGTAGTAAAAAATTTGGATCTCGTCACTGTCTCTTTTTTTTTTTGTTTCATCTTTTCTTACACAGGCGAGTAAAGCAGGCTTGTGTATCTACCGTCCGGGGTTAAAGATGGAGGAGGAGCAGTCCCAGGGTTGGGTAAGCTGGATGTGGAATTGGGGAGCAGAGCCAGAAGAGGAAAGAAAAGAAGTCAAGACTGGAGGTAGGATGTAAAACATTTTAAAACACATAAAGGATAAAACACACGTGTAGCAAACACTACAAACTGCACGCTCAAGCTAGTATGCTGGTCCCCAAATCTCAAATATCCACGGACAATGTTAAAACAGAGTTTACTGTACTCTGCTGTAGGCGGCTCACTTGTGCTGCGATGACAGTAAAGCTAAAATGAAAAGTTACAGATGCATTCAGAATATTCCTCAAATTACCAAGATGGAAGTGTTAGGTGATGTAAATATTAAACGGTGAAATCCTAAAACAGACTGTGGGTTATCTTAGAATTTATTTGGCCAAGGTCAGGCACGCATGGCTGACAAACCTTTCGTGTTAACAGTCTTCCTTATTTTTTTCTAGAAGGTACAGCCTACAAATTCATTTCCGTTTGGATACACTTCTAATAGGCCATTGTAAATGTAAATGTAAATGAATCAGAATCAGATTTATTGGCCAGGTATGTTTACACACACAAGGAATTAAACTTCGCTGAACTGTGCTCTCTTATGTACAAGCATAAGATTAAATATCAACAATAAACACAATAAACAAAGACTAATATGTACAAGACTAAATAAGAAACAGAGCAGTGGTGAGTAGTGCAAAAGATGCTGAAGTAACATGATAATGATGTCTGACATTTACACTTCTTCAACCTCAGAGAATCACATTTTCATACACTTGGATCCAATCCAAATATAGCTATATATGAGATTACTAACACATATGTATTAAAGCTACACAGACCTAAAAGAAGAATCACCCTAACATGGTTGACAATATTAAAAGATATATCCACAAAATGACCAAGATGAATGATTCATGAAAATTCATTCTAACAGCAGGTCAAATGTTTGATACTGAATATTGTGGCAGCTTAAGATAGAAAAATGCCGCACAGAGATACTAAGTTTGTTTGTACCTGTGACTCATTCGTGCTGTAAAAATATTTTTAAAAAGTCCAGATATCTTTTGTAGATTTAATAAACCAAAATAGGGAAAATGTATTTATAAACAAAACGTCCAAAGATGATAATTTAGATGATGATGATTATATACAACGACGATGACGGTCAATAGAAAATATTTCAAAAGCACTCACCCTCTTTGTCTCGCTCCCGCCACCCCCAAATGCACAGGTAATAAATAAAGTAAACCACGCCCACTGCTTATTACTGGACATAATAAGAAACTCCATATAAGGAGTAAAATATAACAAATAATCAACCGAGGTAAAACACACCATATGGCTCCTACACTGAAAATGTCTCCACATTTAATTTTATGTATACATTTAGGAAATGTCATGATAATGTCTCTCACTCAGCCCACACTGAGTGACACAAGGTATTCCTCCTGGTGCAAATGTCTCTGTGAACTGTAGTGATTGTATTCCTTTGTTGATGTCTTGTTTTTAGATTTCTTTTTTTATAATGATGTGGACAGATGGGTTTGGTTATATTGCTCCTGTATGTTTGTCTTTAAGCAGTTTATTTCTGTCCTTGTTACACCTCTTGATTTAATTCTGTGTTTTCTGTTGTTCTGTCTCGATGTGTTAGGTTTTGATGAGCTGTTAACCTCCGCTGAGAAAGCTAAACTCTACACTGCCATCGGATACAGCGACGCCACCACTGCTAATCCCAACCTGCCAAAAAATGTGAGTCACCTCCCCCAGACACCCGCCTGTCCCCTAAAAATACACAAACGTTTGTTCTTCATCCCGCTCAGACAGTCATACAGAGATCAAAATGCAAATCTCAGGTGCGATACTTTGATTCTGTCCCTTTTTTTTTTAGTTTGAAGACATGAAGGTGAACTTCCACATGGAGAGGCTGACCGTGTCCATCAAAGACAAGCAAGACAAGAACGAGATCATCAAGCTGACTGTGGAAGAGCTCCTGTCCACACTCACACAGAGACCCGGAGCACAAGCTATCAAGTATGTCTAAACTTCTTTTATGTTTACGAAGCCAAATCCTCTAAACATATGAGAAGTTTATGTTAAAAAGGGGGCTTCTGCGGGGCTTTTATTACCTGTATTGAGAGGGAAGGACAGTAGATAGAGTTGAGAAAAACGGGATAAGATGTGCAGAAAATAACCGAGGGTGAGAGTCAAACCTGGGGCCGTCGATAAGAGAGCCTAAACCTCTGTACCCTGAACGTGTGCTTCAACCACTGAGCTAAACCCGAGCCCCATTTTGACTAACAAGTAAAGAGAATCTATCACTTAAATATTTTGTAATTTGAAAATTCTTGCAAAAAAAACCAAAAAACAACCAACGTAAAAAAAAAAAAAAATCCTTCAGCGGACGTTTGGTTTTATGATAGACAAAATGTTTGGATACTTCAATACTTTTTGATGCCACATCTTCTAAAACAATACAGTCTATTATTTTAATGATCGATAGTAACAAAAAGTACTGAAGCTTTAGAAAAAACTGTACATCTTTTCTCAGTTTTAACCAAAGGCAACCATGAGAAAAAAGAGAGAGAGAGAGAGAGAGAGAGCGCTGTCTAAATTTCATAAATACTTGGCCACATTTTGGTGCAGTGTATTTCTGCAATTTAGACATTTTGCAGGAGTTTGCCTGCAGTTTTTAACAAGAACTTACCCATTATTTGGTGCTTAGGGCTTCTGCTTTTGTTGCTGTTGTATCAAAACTGGTATCCATGTCGTGTGATTTTAACTTGTATCATATCTAAGTTTAAAATTCTGGTATCTTGACAACCCTGATGAAGAATAGCAAACTTGAAGTTGTACTTTTATTTTTTCAGTAGGGCGACAACTTAAATGTTCCCCTAAATATTTGTTTCGTTCTCCTCTTTTCTTCAGAATCACAGCTCAGCTCAGTTTGTTTGAAGTCACAGGCCTGGCCAGTAACCGACCTGCACCTACGCTCCTGTCGTCCCGTAAGGCAGCCACAGGATCGGGCACCCCGCTGCTCTGCATCCTGTTTGAGACCAACCCGCTGGACGAGAGCGCCAACCAGCGGCTCCATGTGGAATCACAGCCTTTAGAAATCATCTATGATGCTGTGAGTGGTTTCTTCTCAGGATTAAAGTATGAGCATGAAACATTCAGATGCATATTAAATGTGTTGTTTGTTTGTGTAGATAACGGTGAACAGCATGTCGCTGTTCTTCATGCCTCCTGACGACCTGCAGCTGGACGAGCTCACCAACGCCACCCTCATGAAACTGGAGCAGTTTAGAGACCGCACAGCCACAGGTCAGTTACACCAACATGTACATGACCTGTACTGAGTATCAGGAGGGGAGGCAGAGCTTTGTCTCAACTTTTCTGAAGGGCAAATATCTACATTTCTCCGTCGTTGTTTTTCATGCGTCATTTAGTTTCTTCACGTGCTCATGCAGAGTCTGATGAGTAAGTTGGATTGTTGTTTTCCTGTTTATGTTTTCGAGACTGATTGTTTCCTGAGATTTCTTTGCTACAATTTCGAGCCTTGTCTTCATTTCCTTTATCTCATTTGGATACAAGTTCATAGGCTTCTGATATTATTTCATTAAGGCAATTTAAGGCCTAACATTTCAAGGATTTAACGTAATGTTTTATTGAATTATTCCTAGAGTGCTATTAAAATGATTTTCTTAAAGGCAGGGTTGGTAATTTTCTCCAGATCTTTGCTAGGCATCACCAATTTATCAGAAAAAATCACAACGTTTCGGTCCCTCTGAACCTTGTTGAGGGTAGTGTGTGTGATTTTTTTTTTTCTCTTTTCAATGTGATAGTTTGATGTCCTATTCACCTACTTCATGAGAAGGTGAATAGGACATTTTAAAACTCTTTTAAAACAATGTCTGTACTTGTGAAATCGGCAACAAAAATACACCATGATATATTTGTTAAGACGGAGAATTCCTAAGTGTTAAAATGAATCAATATTTGTCATCATTATTTGTGTAATAGATCAAACCGATGAATCTGGTGTTCTGGCTATGGCTATTATTTTAATTGCATTTTGTCCTTTTGTAAGGTTTAATGTACGTGATCGAAACCCAGAAAGTTCTGGACCTGAAGGTGAACCTGATGGCCTCGTATGTCATCATTCCACAGACGGGCTTCTACAACGGCACGCAGAACATCATGCTGCTGGATCTCGGTCATTTCCAGGTCAGGAAGTGCAAACAAGTGACTGTGTTAGTTTCTCTGAAGATACACAAGATGCTCTGAAAAAACGAAAAGTCAAGTGAATTTAGCAGTTTCATTTATTTTCCAAAGGAATCGAAGGTTTTAAACAGCGATACCGGACATTAAATGTTATTTTGATGTCTTTTTTTTTCAGATGTCCAGTCAAAGCAAGAAGCACCTGCCTCAGCTGTCAGTGGGCTCCTGCAACATTGAAGACCTCATGTCGAGAGCGTACGACAGCTTTGATATCCAGCTAAGCAGCCTGCAGTTTCTTTACAGCAAACCAGGTACACACACACACACGAGAGCATGCACCCAGTTGAGTGTTGAAGGGATTTTACCGAGAGGCCGAGAGGTCACTTATGAGTTTCAGCTGATTTAAACTACTCTTGGAGACGTCAGGATGCTCAAACTTCTTTTAATGAAAAACAGTGTAACCGTTCAGAAAGAGTTACTGTATCAAGAAAATCAACATCACTCCAACAAAATGATCTTTTTTTGTGTGTGTGATGTTAAACTTTCTCGCTGTGATAGATGGTGACTGGAAAATGGCCCGTAAGCAGAAGCGTTCACCTCTCCACATCCTAGAGCCGGTGGATCTTAAGGTCGTTTTCAGCAGGGCGATGGTGTCAAAGACTCCCGCATGGCAAAGTAAGTTTGTAGTTTTTTTTCTTCTACGTGGATATTATTATATTTCCCATTTTGGAAGCATCAAAAAAGCTGAGTGGACGTGAATGAAAGGTTATCCGTTTGTGTTTGCATCGTCAGGTATAAGATGTCTGGAGAGCTCCCCCTGCTGTCTCTTCGTATTTCTGACGTCAAACTTCGGAGTGTTCTGGAGCTGGTAGACAGTATCCCACTGCCCGAGAGCAGACCTGCAAACAGCTCGGCTCCTTCCAAGGTAAGACCTGCAGAAAATAAGTAAATGAGTTACACAATTAATGTGTTACCAAAGTGCTGCACAGTGAATTAACAGACATAAATGCATAAAACCCAGAAAAGGTACATAACAAAAATGACATGAAATCACAAACAGAGCACATAAACCTGCAGATACATTAAACACTTAACTTAACACAAAAGGCAGAGAGCACACAAGTACTGTGTTTACATGTTTATTTGGTTATAAGCAAATGTATTTGCTGGTTTGGGTCATGATTTAATTTCCTTTGCTCCTCAGCCGAGGTCGTTCACCCCTCAGCTCACTCCCAGGAGACCTCTGAACCTGGCTGACCAGCGCTCGTCTCTCATGTTCGAGTCATGTGAGACCATCAGCATCACCTCATTGGGTGAGAGACACTGCACATCCAGTATCCCGCTTTGCCCCTCAAAAATCCCTTTTTCACACATGCACAAATCTCCTGAAAACTTTAGGACATTTTGATGTGAGGTTGGAATTGCAGAATTTTTCACCCTGACTTTATCCAGACTTTTTTCTACGAGTAAAATTTGAGCAAGAAGCCAGGGTGAGCGGATGTGTGAACACAGCAGGAAAGACTCAGGGACATTTACCCCAAGCGAGGGCATTGGGTGATGACATTTCTGTGACGCAAGTGGTGCAGTTCAGTTCAGAACGTTTCTGCTCAACAGGATGTTTGTTGCCACACTAATGACACGTCGCATTTATACTAAGGCTGTCATCATAGTGTATGACTAGTGTATGATATATGTACACAATGTAAAGTGTTTTTTGCAGCTTCCTTCTTTACGCCATCAAAAATCTCCCGCTGTGAGGGACATGTGTAAGAGAGAGCAAGGCTGTTCTGAAATTTTCTAGACATTTTCAGGAGTGCATGTGTGAAACAGTCATCCAAACATATTGCACTGCTGTGTATTTGTGCCTATAGTTTAACAGAGGAGGGCTCATGGTATGTTTTTTTTTTTTCTTTTTGAAAACCCTCAGGCTCAGAAGAAGATTTGTTCTATGACGCTCCCAGCTCTCCCATTGGTGAAAAACCATTCTTCGCAGATAACCCCATGCCACTGCGCTACGCGGACTTGCACAAAAGAAAAGGTCTGATCAAGGAAGATGTGAAGAAAAACATGACTGACCTCATCTTGACCTTTGAAATCAGTGAGGTAAAGAGAAGTCTGTGACATCCTTTGTTAAATTCTATGTTCATGTCTTGATGGTTCTAACTTCTCTCCTCTGTGTCCTCCTCTGTTTGTCCAGTTTTCTGTTCAGTTGTGTCGTCTGTCTGAGGATCAGGAGGTCCCGGTGCTCCACCTGGACATAGAGGGTCTTGGCACTGAACTGAAACTACGCACCTTTGACATGACATCCAACACCTACCTGCGAGAGATCTGCCTCAAGTGCCCTGAATACATGGGTCAGTAGATGATTAAAGGACGGTGTCGCTCCACTTTTACTTACCAAAATCTTTTTTTTGATTTGTCAAGTACGTACTTTAAATGAGCTTTGATGAATAGAAAAACAGATGAATCTATGCGGCAGCTCTTTCATGTAAAGTTTTCTTCCTGTGTGTAGATTCTGAAGAAAAGCAGGTTCAGCTGATCACCACACTGGATAACACAGAGGTGGACCTTCTTACCCTGGAGTATATAAAGGTATGTGTGATGAATCAAAATAGTCAGTCTCCATTTGTTTTAAGTCGTGCCACAATTGTTATTATGTGTTTTCCAGATGGTGTTTAATGGGTTCTGCATTCAAGATTGTTTCTCTTTTTTTAGGCTGATAAGAACGGACCTGAGTTCAGATCCCAACACAACAACACAGAGCAGCTTATTAAGGTGAGAGAAATTAACACATGAGCTGTTTTCAAAATTTCTAGATAATTTCAGGAGGACTGCTCCCGATATTCTCCTGACCTGGCTGTTCACATATGCACCAGAATATTTGCCTCAATATCAATGCTACGTTTAGTTCAACGGAATTAGAGTACCAACAAAAGAGCGGAGAACAACATACTGAGGAACAGAAAACATAATGCAGCCTTTTAATTACGTGCACGCTGACTCCAGTCACAGTATTAGAAACGTCACTCCCTCCTATTGGCTCAAGGTGAATTCTCCGGAGAATATCCTGCTGCCTTCTCGTGTCAGTTCACTCTGACTTACCGCGGGAAAAATACTAGGAGTCTGGCAGGAGAAACTCCGGGGGAACAATCCGGTTGTTTGCGTTCACAGTTACAGCTCCTCCTGTCAATATCAAGATTTTTCTGCAGGTGTGAAAGCCCTTGTAAGGTATAGGGTATCTGCTTCTATGTATGCTGTATTTAAATAATGTGGAATATTCAAAGTGTTTTCATGAAGATTTCATCATCAGTTTTAAAAAGCGACAAAAACAATAAATTTTAATTAACGGTAGAAAAAAATGTAGACAAAAGTAAAGAAGCACTGATATTATATCGTGTCATTCTCCATCAGGTGACCTTCTCCTCCCTGGACGTACATCTCCATACAGAGGCTCTTCTCAACACCATGAACTTCCTCACCAACCTCCTCCCTCCCTCCACAAAGAAAGAGGGAGGCACGGAGGAGCTGCCCACCATCCCCGAGGAGGACGAGAGCGAGGCAGAGAAGGAGGGCGAGAAGAAGGGAGAAGCAGCGATCACCAAGAAAAAGAGTAACTATCCGATGTTTCCTCTTCAATGTATTCACATTTTAATCTGTTGATGTGTTGTAAGTATGTGTCTTTAGTTACTCATCTTTCCTCTCTGCATCTTTTTTTCTAAAGGTACAAAAAGTAAAAAGTTTGCAGACGTGGTGAATCTGCATATCAGAGCGGATCTCCGCTGTCTGAAGGTTTTCATCCGAGGACAGAAAGCCAGGATCTGTGAGATTAGAATCGAAGGTATGAAACTGTTTGTGACATATCCTCTTTCATAACACCAGAAATATATTCCCTCTTTATTATATTTCTGTGCATGTGCTTGTGTTGAGTCATAAATAGTTTTGCATGTCAACACCAGTTCAACCCAAACCTGCCAGTTTCCTCTTCCTGTCCTTTGGATAACCTTTCTCTGATGCAGCCTTGACTGAATGTTCCTCTTGTGTATTGACTGTCTCACCTTCTCAACCATCCAGGTCTGGTTTCTGAGGTTCTGATGAGGAAGAAGGAGATGGAGGTTCTGGCCAACCTGAAAAACATTGTGATCCTGGACTGTGACAAAGATGCCTTTTACAAGAAGGTAAAATGTGCAAAAGTCAAACCTCTAAGCTCTTAAGTAATCATCCTCGCGAGTTGTTTTTGGTTTCATGCTGGTGCTCAAGGGCGACATCTGCTGGATCAAGAAATTGCATATAAAGCCTTTAAGTCTATAAATATATATATTGGGAATGTGATTGTTCATATAGATGATAGTTGGTATTCAGCTCAGACGTAACCTCTTGATTTGCCAAGTTCAAGGGTGAGCCATCTTGCTTTTTTGTGATCATTTACCTGCTTAATTAATCATACTCCAAAGTCACAAAACAATCGTCTGTTAGCCGACAGATAACGACACAGGTTGTGTTAAAGGGGTAAACGTTTGAGGACATTTTGATTTGATGTTTTTTGTATGTTTCAGTTACAAAGGAAGTTGTGAGGTCACAGAGGTCCCCACTTGGGTTATTACTTCCTTATAAAACACAACGATATGTAACTTGTAATACAAGATGAGGGCATTTTTTTATTTCTGTACATAATGATCAGAGTATACAAAGTTGGCAGCAGTTCTTTAATGTCTTGTTTGAATGCAGGCTGATCACAGTGAGTTACTATGGTTACAAGGACATGCTGTGTCTGGCACTGAAACTTTGTGTCTACAGTATGATATTAATCAAGAATTTTGGAATAATTTCCAATTGTTTTTTTTTGTTGCACAGAATGAAACTAAAAGCTGTCTGATGGTCCTGATTTCATGTTCTTTTTTTCCATCCTGTCTCTCACTCGTTTCGTAGGCCGTGTCGATAGCAGATAAGGAAGTGTTTGCCTTCCGCATGGTAAACTATACAGACGCCACAGAAGGGGACGCCTATCTGGACATGTCTAAAGTCGACACCTTTGTCACGCTGACTGTGGGATGCATCCAGGTCGTCTTCCTCAACAAGTTTGTCTCTTCCATTCTGGTAAGAATCACAATTTCCCTGTTCCTCTTTAAGATGCGAGAGTCAGCCTGTTTTACATTCAGTTCAGCTGTGAGGGATGATGTAGGTGAAGTCATCACTGTGTGCCCGTCTTTAGAGGAAGTCATTTAGTAATTCAACCAAAACAACAACAACAACAACCAGCCAAGTTTAACCCCCGCTGATCCAGCCCGAGGCACAGTATTTAATCGTTTTACTTATATTTAGCCTTTTAGTTTTAGTCTTCTATTACTTGTTTATTTTGTATGTTTTGCTTATTGTGCAAATTCAAAATACTTTAACTTTTATTAAGTGTGTGAGGCTCTACTTGATCTCTATTTACAGCTGTCCATCGGGTGGGTTGTATGTTGAACTGAGCGGTATGATTCTTTGAACTTTGACCTCGGCAGATTTGCCCTTTGTGGACAATAAAGAGATGTCTCTATGTATTAAAGAGGTCATAGTATGCCCTTTTTGGGGTTCGTATATTTAATCTATGTACCTACTAAAGTATGTTCACAATAGCTAAAGTTCTAAAAAAGTGTCTGTTTTCATGAACTGCCGCTCCATGCACCGGCTCGCTTCTGACTCTCTCTCTGAGGCTCTGAAGTGCCCACGTTCAGAGTCCCCACGTGTGCCAAGTCTGATCTGATTGGTCGGCCTCTCTGCTCTGCCGTAATTGGTCAGTCGCTCAGCACGGTTCTCGGAAATGTCATGCCCCTTTTACCATATTGGGAATGCAGCCACTTTGGCTCCGAGGGCCGAGCAAAAACATTAGCACCTTAGCACTACTGTGCTACCGCAGGCTACGGCATATCATGGGCGTGTTACAGAAGTTAACTGGCGTGCAACATGAGCTGCTGGGCTTGCCACAACGAGCCAATGGGCTTAGATCAGTGATATCACACTGACAAGACGTCACATTGGCAAATTTTTATTGAGGGTGGCTAGAACCGAGCGTTACATGCAGCTAATGCTACAGCTAACAGGAGGAGGTAGGAGAAGCCATGTTTCTGCGGACTTTGAATTTTTGCACATAGATGTGCCTAAACATGCACAGGACACTTGGAAAACACACTAAAGAGCATATAAAACCAGAAAAAGCAGAATATGACCCCTTTTAGTGTGTGTGTGTTGACCGTCTTTTCCACATTTCCAAACTAATTTAAGTACCTCTCTTATATTCTAACTTTGTCGTCCTTACTGCCCTCCAGGCGTTCATCAATAACTTCCAGGAGGCTAAAGATGCCCTCACCGAGGTGACGGTCCAGGCCGCAGGAAAGGCCGCGTCGGGTGTCAAGGAACTGGCGGAGCGGAGCACGCGGATCGCTCTAAACGTCCACTTTAACGCGCCCGTCATCTTCCTGCCCCAGTCCTCCACTTCCTCCAACGTCATCGTAGCTGACCTCGGTTTGCTGTCCGTCAAGAACGAATTTGCCAAGCAGCCTTGTAAAAGCAACACGAAGATCCCGCCTGTTGTGGATCGAATGGCTGTGAAGCTGACAGACCTCAAGATGTACAGGTGAGAGACCAGCAGCCCTCTTTAGGAACAACTCGGTATAGTCAACCTGCTGCTCTCTTTAAACAAAAACAAAATCATCCTCACTTTGTTGTTTGCTGCTTTCAGGACCACTTATATAAATGAAGGTTTTCAAGGAGAGACACAGCTGTTGAAGCCCGTCAGCCTGGACCTGGAAATCCAGAGAAATCTATCATCCAACTGGTACCACGACATTCCTGACATAGAGATCACTGCTCATCTTAAACCAATGAGTGTAAGTGACGCTGTATGGTAGCATGAAAAGGAATTCGACATGAAGTGTTTAGATTATTATAGATTATGTAATTTTTGTGTTCCCAACAGCTGATCCTGAGCCAGGACGACATGACGGTGGTCCTGAGGACTCTGAGTGAAAACCTGTCTGAGAAGTCGGATGCTGTTCCAGCGCCCTCCTCTGCCCACCACGGACCACTCCTCTGACTCTGTGTCTAACAAAGAGTCTCAGGGCTCTGGAACCACAGGACCAGCCAGCAGTAAGGAGAATATGGTTATGCTTGATGTGTGTATCAACTTTAAACAGCTTAAAGCTTATCTTGCATGTGACGATAACTCTGCAGGTAACACGGTAGTGACGGCGGCTGTCGTGGAGACTCAGAAAACCAGAAAGCTGAAGAGCACGCTCAAATTGGACTTCAAGTTTGACTCGATGACGCTGGTCTTGTACAGCCCCAATGGCAATGTGGTAATGCATAAAAACAGTGTGTGTGCAAAAAATAGAAAACAAGACTAACTTTTCACTATAGCATATCTAACAGTGTTCAACTTCTTCATTTAGTTACAGGTGTTGGATTCACACGATGAGCAGCTGAAGTTGGCAGAGTTCACTCTGGGCACCATCTCCACCTCCGTCCACATGTTCTCCGACAGCTCCATGAAGGCGTCAGTGCGACTGGCTGCCTGTCTTCTCGATGATAAGAGACCCAGGATCAAGATGGTCACTCCGAGGTCCTAAAAGCACACATAATGTTTATTTATTTAGTCATTCATCTTCCTCTACAATCTACTTTGAAACCGCCATTGTAAGGCCACATTTTTTCCAAACATCTAACACATTTATACTCCCACCTCGTCCTCTTCTCCACATCCCACCTTGTTTGTTTCCTTAACTCCGTTCTTCTCCGTCTTCTTCAGGATGATAGCGATGCGTCCCGGTGCCGAGCAGCACATGATGGTGGAGGTGAACTACCATCAGGGCCGTGATGGCACCACCTTGGACACAGTGGTGCAGGATATTTACCTGTGTGCCAGCATGGAGTTCCTGCTCACTGTGGCAGACATCTTCCTCAAGGCCACCCAGCAGGGTTTTGCTCAAGTGCCGCAGCCCAAGAGCAGTTCAGGAGGAGCGGATAAAAAGAACATTAGCACCTCCATCGCATCTAAAGAGTCAAGTGAGTGAAAAATAACAGTATAACTATCATTAAGTGGCTGTCAATATTGATATATATATATATGGTAATATTACTCTTTATTATATTGATATTTGATGCAGAGAGATCTTTTAATAATACATAGCTATTAAGTAGAGAGGTTATGGAAGACTTTTTTGACTGTTTTTGTTAGTCTATTGTATGTCGTAAAAGCAAACTGTAAAAATGTTAATTAGTGTTCAAAAACAACTCAGAATCAAAGAGGTACAATGAAAAGGCACATGGCATCTCTACTTCGTACTTGAAGGAGCCAAATGTAACCTTAAACACTTAGCGTTTAAAGTGGGTACACCCTCCTCTCTAGAGTCGATGCTCACTCAGGTCACCATGTGGTGGACACTGAAGCTTCAGTGTTTATCCAGCTCTGCATGGGTCTGTAAACCTTTCTGTGTTCTAACCTCTCTCCATTTTTCAAAAAGCATCCAATATTGATCCTAGTTTGAGCACGTTTCTGCTCGTGGAGCTTATTAGAAACATGCAGAGGCTTTTTAGGTCGGGTACAATCACTTCTATCTGAACCACTTCTCTTGCCCGCTTCCGTCGTTGCAACACCTGTTGGTTTACTGTTTGTCTGCAAACCGAGGGGTCGTTTAAAACATGTTTAGGTGGTTGCATTTTTATTATGTGTCGTTTTTTTTTTTGAACACTCACACCATCTTGATTGGTATAATAAATGCAGAATTAATACGACATCATTTGCACTTTACTGTCTTCATGGTCTGAACTGATGTTTACCTCTGATACTGTCTTCTGCTTTCAGCTCCAGCTGCAGCTGCAGCCGTGGTGTCAAAGACAGAGATGAACGTTGTGGTGAGAAACCCGGAGATTGTGTTTGTGGCTGACCTGACGCGTGCCGACGCCCCGGCCCTGGTGATGACCACAGAGTGCGAACTAGTGATGAAAAGTGATGCAGAGGGGTCCCAGATGACCGCTGCAATCAAGGACCTCAAGGTTCATATACGATTTATGATGTAAAACTGGGAACCCGATGTGTTAAAATACGGAAGCCCTCAGAGGACATGCATCCAAACATTACTTTGCTTTTGTTTTCTTGAGATCTTGTTTTTTCAACATATTTTCACACATTCTTTTACAGGTTATTAAGGGTGGTACACTACAGTGTTATTTTTAGTTAGCTTTCAGTTTGGTTTACTGTCGTAGTTCAGGAGATCGTAGGAGGAGATTCTGGGGACAGAACCCCGGCACCAAATGAGATTTCTTCAGGTTCATGTCAGTCTCAGTCCTTCTCCCATTTGCGGAGAATGATAGCTTACATGTGGTCTTTACATAGAACATTTATTTTCAACATATTTTTAGATTAGTAAGTCTAAATGACTCGTTGTCGCAGGGAAACTGAGTAAATAAAATGTATGGATGCATGTCTGCTTAGGGCTTCCATATTTAAAGAATGAACCCACTTAGTAAAGTCTTTTTTAATTCTGATTTGTATTGTAGTGGTGGCTGTCCCTTCTTGAGAGAGAAGCGGAAAAACAATGTGACGACGGTGCTGCTGCGTGTCAGGTGTTCTTCCA